TTATTGTTTTTTTTTTTATTACTAATTTTACAAAATTTAAAGCCTCTTCCTATTATAGTAAAGCAGCTGAGATTCAAACCTCGGTCTTTCTCCTCCCATACCCTGACATCCCAGGCTGTCCTACAGAATAGTTCCTGCCTTTAGAAAATGATCTTGTCGGGGCGCCTGGGTGGCTCAGTCATTGGGCGTCTGCCTTCGGCTCGGGTCATGATCTCAGGGTCCTGGGATCGAGCCCCACGTCAGGTTCCCTGCTCAGTGGGAAGCCTGCTTCTCCCTCCCCCACTCCCCCTGCTTGTGTTCCCTCTCTCTGACAAAATCTTTAAAGAAAAAGAAAGTGATCTTGTCGCATTCTAAACTATCTGGTTAATTGGCAATTTGTTTTCTAAATAATTTTTTTTTTAAGTCTCTTTCATATTGACTGAAATGGAAGAATTGGGTTTAAATAAGCAAATTATTAGTGTGAAAGTAAACTGGTAATTAAGGAAGAGTAGTATCATAGGAACATGACTATTGATCCCATTGGTAATAATCAGTATGTCAGCCTTTCCCTGTTGTTTTCCATCAGAACTCAGATTCTTCATGTGAAAGCCACCATGCTGTTGTAGCGTCCAAAAGTACAGTTTCCTTTACAGCACTGAGAACCAGCCTGAATTCGTCTAACATAAGCCCGAACCAGCAACCGGATCCTCATTTGGCTCATGCTACAGCTCAGATATTTACTACAGAAAATACTGAGGGTATGATTAAGTTAGAAAATACTTTTCCATGGTTTACATCCACTTTCCTTGGAAATTGTGCCTAGCAGCTCTTGGTATGTCTCCACTCCTGTCCTCACCCATTCCCAGTGTTACAGCTTCTGTTTCTGTGTATTCATTTCAATAGAATAATGCTCAGTTTGCATTTTTACAGTTTTGAACTTGATAAAAAGCAAAAGTGCTGCCTCTTGTTCCTCAGCTTCCTTACCTCAACCCTTACAGTTTTAAGTATCCTTCTAAAACTTCTTGTACAAATTGTATATATACACACACGTTTTTATATGAGATACACATGCACATTTTAGTCTGAGTTCTGTTATTGAAATCAGTAGTCTCTCTTAGGAGAGTCTTAGGATTCTCTCTAGTTTTCATCATGTCTAATAACCATATTTTATTAGACTAGGAGAAAATACATCGTGGGAGCAGAATTATTTGAAAATCAGTGACCATCCTTTTAGTTTTCTATTCATGTATACATACATCAGCTTTCACTCCTCAAATTGTAGGAAGTAATCGGACTTCATTACTCCAATTTAGTTCAGACTATTAGAGACTGTATCTGTATCCAGGTTTTACAACATGTAATTATGGTTAACTTATTTCTTACAGGATCTGAACAATCTTTTCAACAGCTTCTGCCAGAATTTTCTTCACAGGAGGGGAGCCAGCATGTTGATCTATCAAGTATTTTCACCATTGAAGCGAGAGATTCTTCCCAAGGCATGGAAAATCAGAACGACTCTGAACAGACTAAAATACAAATTAAGGAAAAAAGTGTTCATTTCCACCTCTGTGTAGGAAATTTACAGAGTTCAGTCTTCAGTTCATCTGATGAGGCTAATGTATTTCATCCCTTAAGTCTACAGTATAGCACTCCATGTGGGTCTACGTCTAGTGAGTGCTCAATAAAAGCCCAACCAGAAGGCAGAAAACAAAGACCGGGTTTTGAGGAACTATCAGAAAGAGGACTCAATGGGGACAAAAATGAAACCCGTGGGGTTTTAAACATAAATTCACAGGTGGAGGAAATTGATTCTCAATCCTGTGTCAAAACAGTGGAGATGGGAACTTCAGTTCAGGCACCATATTCTGTTCAGAATGAAGAATATTTTGAGAATTCAACTAAGGCAGAAACTCCAAAAATCCTAAGAAACCTTTCTCAACTAGCACAGTCAGAGCTCTTTTTAAGTTCTGGATCATTACAGAGCTCAGTTCCAATGTGGGTAAGTGAAATCTGTTGTATGTAAATAAATTCATTTCCAGGGAAGTCTTTTGAAACAAAATTCAACAGAAGCAACCAAGATACTTGCTAATATTCCTGAGATAGTCAATCTTGTCATCATTGGAAATCTCCAATAAAAGGTCTTGCTCCCCGTTGACACATCCCTTTTCTAATGGCTTGGCCTATGCTTCAGCCTCTTTGCACTGCATTAATCTACTCGGTTTCAACTCCAGTCACGTGAATATGGTTTTTGCCTTCTAGTATTGTCCTTCCACCGATAAACATAGAAGTTATATTGAGATCAAGAGTGTCATCTAGGCCACAGATACTTTATTTTGCAGCTTTTGTTTTGTTGGAGTGGTTTTGTGTTTGGTTTGCTAATTCTTCAGTGTAATTAAAGATACTTCCCTCTAAAAATGTAATTTGGCAGCAGGGGCCTCCATTTGGCTGCACCCCACGAGCTACTGCTTTCGATAGGTTACCGGTTACCCCCTCAGGTTCTACACAGCCCCCAGTCAATCCGCGTTTGTACTATCTGCATAGCCCCATAATAAGCATTTGGGCTTATAACCCTTGCAATAGCAATTTTCAGACAATTATTTCACCCATCCCCAAAGTCTTAATATTTCTAAAAGTGGGTTGGATGTGGGGGAGGCACCACCGTGGTCTTCACAGACCACTGTTCTTCCTCTGTAACGTATTTTTACACTTTTAAGGGTATGGTTTCCTTTTGAATTTTACTGCACAGGAGACAGAATCTGGCCATGGTATAATGGAAGAACCAGAGCTTACACTAGTAAGCACCAGTGATACCAGTATTGCTGAAATGGATTTTGCAAATCTAACCCTAGAAGAAAAGAAAGGAAATGAGGCAAAGAACAGTTCTCAGGTAAATTTCATAGCTCCCTTTAATATGAATACACCTCATTTACACAGCAACACATAGCTGAGAATAAGGAAACAGGTAAGTTTTTCCACTTTTGTTTCCACATAGCATTTTTTTTCGCTAAGAATTGTTTGCAGACTAATTTCCTTCCCTTTCCTGGGTGCAAATGTGCTTAGAGCAACTGACAGCTGACAGGAGAGGGACGTACATTTATCTTATGATGCTACAGATTTCATTAGGACTTGTAAGGGTTGGAACTCAGGAATGAATTGATTCAATGAATGATTGATTTCGTTCCAAAAAAGTTCTGAGGCAGCAGAGCTCTAGAAGATAAGTAAAAATCAGACCTGAGGGCGATACAGAACGAGTGCTATTACTTTACGAGTTTATTTTGTGTGTGTCCTGAAGAAAAAATGAAGATGTACATCAAGTTATACCAAGATAGGTTTTAAGTTCTTTTAGCTGCAGGTTCCTTATACTTTTCTCCACTGCAAGGAAACCATTCCTCCTGGCTCACTTCACTTCTTAGAAGATAGTCATTGGAGGGAATTCGCCATAAATTTAATTCTTATTTACTAAGATTCTAGATTACAATAAATTCACTGGTAACAAAACTAAGAAAAATCTAAGTCCCCACCCACCGTTTCAGTGTATTAAGAGGGAAACTCTTACACAGAAGTCTCAGATTCTAGAGTACTACGGCAGGACCTTTTTTGTGGCCTGATATGGTATTAGATTATTTATCTAATAAATGACTCCACACCTAGTACTTGTTGGCATGATAACTGATAAGGGTAATTTGGGGAAGCAGGAGACAAGTAGAGCTGATGCAGAAGTGGTGTGGAAGAACTTGACAGGAATCAAGGTGGGGGGTGTGGGGAGCTTTTGACTAGAGTAGGCTGGTCAGGTAAAGCATTTTAATAGGAATAAAGTCAATTTATTAAAACTTTCCCTTCCCAGAAAACTTAGTCCTATAGTTCAGATGTGAGAACCAGCACAAAGAAAGTAGAATAGGAACGAAGTCTATTGAATACAGATTCCTATACTGCATTTGCGGATTAGAGCGTAAGGCACTCAACTGCCTACCTCCCCCAAAGACCACATCTCTTTGTCTACCAAAGGGAACCAGGGCTTTAAAGGTTTAGAACCTGTGCTTGTGATTCTGTTCAGTGAGATGAAAAGTGGTAAATTAATCTATAATTTTTTTTTGCAATTAGGTGAGTGAATTTCTGCCTCTTGTATCAGAAATAGAAACCCCGGATTATCCAGATGTATCTGAACACTGCAGCGAGGAGCAAGTGATCCTGTCTGCAGGTATGCCCTTGAGCATCTGAAATGCTTAGCGTTAAACTGAGGGGCCAGCAGAGTTCCTGATTCAGTTCCAGTATTCACACTGCCCCACAATCTTGTACACTGCTGGCACACACAAAAAAGCTTCAACTTTTTTTTTTTTTTTTTTTAACAGAAACCCCTCCAAAGATTATAGCTCTACCTGGGAGCTTACAAGAAGCATTTATAAAGAGGAAAAAATCATTTATGGAGAGATCCTCCCAGAGACAGAAAGAAATAAAGAATAAAATTCGTATTCCTGAAAATTCTCAAACCAAAATAGCTAAGGAGAAGCCTACAGGTATGTTCCACACAATCTGCATCAGGTCTCACAAAGAGAATGTAGCTTTGTAATATTTGCCAAGTCACTTGTTCTCTGCTCAGGCTCATCTGTGAGTCGCCTGAAGGGTGTGAATAAGGTTAAGGTTAGAGTGTCACTTCCTGAAGACAGAAAGACTGCACAAGCCCTCATGCATCAAAGGGCCCCAAGGTATAGGTGTGTGTATATGTGTGTGAGTGAATAGTAATTTACATTCCTAAAATGTGTGTCCTTAATTCTATATATCAATTTCTTACAGATCATACAATCAGTTAGCTGAAGTCAATCAGCAAAGGGAAGAGAAAGCAAAGCAAGATGCATATGCCCAAAACAGAGCAAGGGCAAAAGAATTTCATAAGGTGAGCTAGGCCCCCTACAATTTTTCCCTGTCTAGGGTATATATACTGCAATGGATAACTGCTAAATTTTATTTTTTATTCCTTCCACAGAAAACACTAGAGAAACTTCGAGCCAAAAATACATGCTGACTTTCTACTAAAAGTATAAGGTTTTTTTAATTATGTGTAATATAGGCAAAATTATTTAAAGTCAATAAATTTTTATTTAAGGAATTTTACATATGATTCCTTCCACTTCCAATCACCGTAGTTCCTCCAAAGTCAGAATCATAATCTTCAAAATAGCCCTGAGAACAAGAGTATACACACTGGTTAAACTTGGGACACATTTCTTCTTTCCCACTTAACCAATCATGGATAGAAGCAGCTAAATCTTGTATCTCCTCAGGAAAACATAGTACTATTGAGTAACTATTACATCCTATGGAGAATTCCAGTATTTGGTCACAGCGTTAAGAGCTCTTGGTTTTAGTCCCACAAGCCCTCTTTGAAATGACCTAGAAGTTATTTTTTTCAAATGTATACATACCTTTTAAAAAGAACTTGTTCAATCCACAGTTGTCACGGTCAGTCCTACATAACAAAACATAAAAGTAAGGTTCCATTTCCAGAGATGACCATGTAAACTGAAGCCAGCCTCCATCTGTTAAATCTATTGTATTACAAGTTGCATGGTTATTAGCAAGAGTGATTTAGCAAAAGATATTTGCAAGAGTAGAGATCTAGGCACGCACTGTTCAATATACTAGCCATGTATGGTCAGATGAGAATTTGAAATAATAGGACTATTACCAAATCACATATGGCTTCTGTTACATTTATACTGGACAGTGGTGCTGATCTAGCCAACGGAAATAGAACAGGGTTGATAAAATGTTCCCAATAGGCTGAATGCTAGCAAAGTAGCAGAAAGAAAGAAAACCTAGTGGGAAAATTTTTTTACGGTCATGTCCACAGCAAATGAGAAACTGCATTCTCAAAGCCTTGGTAATGACCATTATATGGTAAGAGAATTAACTTGCCAGAGTTTTCGGTTGGGCTTCTTCAATCTCCACTTGAATATGGACATTACTTCAAAAACTCCCCACCTATGGAAAATTTTAAAGTTCAGACTACAGTTTTCAAAATGCACTTAATTAGGTTCCCAAGTATCCTGAAACCCAGTTCTGAACTAGTAGTATGTGCTGAAAATTGCAGACTTAAAACTACGTAAGGTACAGTAACTGTTTTCAATCCAGTTCATTGAAGTGCTGGGAATACAAACTCATTTGCATTCAAACCCCAAATGACATGAAATGCCCTCTGATTATTAACTCCAAAGGTAACTATACCTGTTTCAGTTAACTTTTACTTAGAGCTTTTGCTGGAAAATACAGCACAGATTTCATCTGGATGGATGTTCAGAAAGGCTAATTTCATTCAGCGCATTCAGAGCAGTTGAACATTTTGCCCATCATCATAACATCACAAATCACTGGCAAACAGTATAAATACACATTGTGGGCTTTTAACATCAAGAGTTTTTGTTTTAAGTGGTGAGGTAATGAACTACCAGGATTAGCAGCTGTCAAAATTAGGTAAATAAAGGGATTCCATCTCCTATAACATAGGGCTTTTGAAGGGAAATCTTACCTGTAATCTTTGGGATCCAATGTCTTTACTCCAGGGCCCTAGAAGTCAAATTGTACAAGTACACTGATTAGAGATCTAATTGTTTCTAATGTTGGAAAGTCTTAACAGAAATGTTACAGGCCTCATTGTCACCACAACAATAAACTTGCTGTGATGGAAGCATAACCTGTGTCTCAATGTAGCCACATCAACAATTTCTGGACACCATGAACAACAGTGCCCATTTCCATCTAGAATGGGGCTTTACAGAAGTTCCTCTCAAGCTTATAATCTATACAAATGTTTCTGCCTCTATAAGTCCTGCTGTTTTGCTAACCAGATGCTGTCAATAAAAGCAAAGCCTTACCTGTTAGGGCCTGAGCCTGGATCTGCCTGGTTCTCAGTTTCCAACACCCCTAGAAAAAGAGAAGCATTAGTTCCTCCTGAAGATTATCTCAAATTGAACAGTATGAAAAACTAGAGGAATACTGTTTCAATAAAAATACCAGGTTTAACATGCACAAAGCCAAGAAAACCAACGATGCCAGATACTGAGTTTCTATTGCACTGTCTCTTGAACACCCAGCAGGAATGAGCTGCTGAGGGCAGATACCATGCAGTGCGATCCTGACAGGTATGTAAACCCCTCTACTTCAAAGCTACCTGAGAAACTTCCCTCTAGAAATTTAAGTTCTTGTAATATGTAGACCTTTATTCCTAATTGCCACTCCAATAAGACATTACCTGCATCTTAAGTTGTAAACCTAGTCCCCATTATCTTTCCTGTCTCTGTATAACGCACATACAGAACTATGAAGGGAAATCACTAAAAGAAATGATGCATTAGAAACAAGATCAGTTGCTCAGATTGTTAGGCAGAATTCCTTAAAAAAATTTCAGTATCTCTGTTGTAACATATACAAATATGTTATTAGGATGAACCATAGGAATTGTTTAATAAAGATACAAAGGGGGCATTTTCATGTTATTTCCTAGATAGTCTCTTCAGTTTGTCCAATTCTGTAAGTTTTACGGCAAACATTTTTACCAAGATCTTGATATTCTGTTGCATACCCAACTACTGCACACAACAGTACGCTGACCTCACAACTTAGTTTTCAGAACGTTTGGATCCTTAATAAATTTCAATAGAAATTAGATGTTCCACCTACCTCTAAATGTGAATGAGTTCAAATCCTATTCACCCCTACAGATAAAATAACAAAAGATTAAGAACAATTTGTGATTAAAATTTAAAACCTAAATATATGACTAGCATCCAAATTTTAACTATTTTTTAAGCTATAGCCAGCTCTGTCAGAATTAAGTTTTAGTTCATGTCTGTATCATTCAGCAGTTGAACAGTTAAATTCATCATCTGAACTGTAACAGTACCCCAAAGATTACACTATTCCCGAAGGAAACTTACCTAAACCATCACACCCTAGAACTGTACAGATTGTTGGGAATATGCCAATACCTAAGATTTAAAAAAATTTGACTATTAGGTCTTGTACAGAGTTTTAGCAGTTAAATGTCTTGTAGTTCTTTCCCACAGATCTAACACACAGTTCTGTGAATAAAGGAAACCACACATATACTCTATGAGGCGTTTCCAACGATGTAGGTCTACAGAGAAAAAGCCCCATCGGGATAGACCTCAACTATTGTTTAGTTTTAAATTGGAAGATTCCACAAGAAAAACAATTAGAACAGTGATCCGCTCTCAGTAACTGAGTTCAAAATTGTGCAAAAAGCCCAACATTTACAACAAACTTAAAGAAACCGTTCCATAAATTACACAGTAAGGATTTTCAAAATGCTTACAGGAGGGAGTGAGTCTATAATGAGAATAAAACTCAAATACTAAAGATAAGTACAAAGTAGCTACTATAGAACCAAAGGAAGGAAAAAGATTTCTGTATCTAAAAGTCCTGATTTTGGCAAACTCCAGTATCACAGTATGTTTTGTCTAGGATATTCCAGATTACAGCAGTGTTTAATTTTTTGCCTCACCTTAAAAAATACCATTATTTGATATCACGTACTAAAAAAAAAGGAAAATATTAATGTGGCTATATTTCTGTTCTTCCCATTTATGAAATCACTGGAAGATAAATTGTGCTTTTTAATTACCATTTGCATCATTCAGATTTAGGAAATCTTATGTCCTCTAGTCATTTCTAACATTACACTACTAAATCCTACACCTCATTTTAGATTATGCATTAGTTTAAAATTATGTAAATGTGTGGAATGAGAATATCTAGTATTCTGATAATTTCAATATAAACTTAGTTTGTGGAGACCCTTTCCTGCTAGTGAAGTGAAGCTTGCACTTTACCACTATAAAATGTGTGAACCCTAAAATTCATTTTTCTGAAATGTCAAACAAACTGTAAACTGGCAAAATGTCTTTCAGTAATGAAACCTGTAGAGGTTTAAACTGTCTGACAAAGTACATTTCAACAAATCTAATCCAAATACTCACCTAAATCATAAGACATACCTTTAAAGTCCAGACACTGTATTCAAGTGAAAAGCCTAAAAAAAAAAGCATCTTTGTTTCATGTCAGCATTGAAATTAGAATACTAATTCAATATAGCTGAGATTTCTCATACTTTTTTTTTTTTAAGATTTTATTTATTTTTGACAGAGAGGGAACACAAGCAGGGGGAGTGGGAGAGGGAGAAGCAGGCCTCCCTACCAAGCAGGGATCCTGATGCAGGGCTCGATCCCAAGACTCTGGGATCATGACCTGAGCCCAAGGCAGATGCCGAATGACTGAGCCACCCAGGCACCCCTTCCCTTATATACCTTTAGTAATTCTACAGTCCTGGAACTGCCTTTCAGGTTTGTCAATATACCCACCATCACTTTAATCTGTTTCAGGGATCTTGTTCCTTCTTATATGTATCAAAACTCATACTGTGCCATGAGTTCTGGGTTGCAAAAGAGGATTTATTTTGTGCACTTAGTCTAAGTCTTTGTTCACAAACTAAACAAACACAAGCACAAGTGCGATCATAAAATACTGGCATAATCAATATGCAGTAGTGATAAGAAGTGGTAGCTGAAATAGTCTAGATAACTAGTAATTTCTTATTATGGTAGTACATATTTGAAGCTAAAGGTCACTTTTATCTGAATATAACTGCGATCAAAATGGTTTCAGGTACTCTGAGGAATGGATGGTTGGTTGTCCATCATTAGTGATTACTGTAATAAAGGTTTACAATCTCTGTACTTCTTTGAATGCTCAAGTGATGCTTTTAAGTGCTTACCCTGAAATAAACAAGCAGAGGCAAAACAGATCTGTTTATTATTTCTCAAGTGATTATTTCTGCTACATGCAAGCCTCAATTTCTTCTATGTGTATAATTTCACCGTTTTAAAATATTTTTTTCTAGTAATTCTTTACGAGTTTCACTAACTTGGTCATTCTTTTTTTCTCCTTAGCAGGTTCTTTTTTATCACTATGCCAACATATGTATTTGTGTTTTTCATCTTTACTTTCTACAAAAAACCGTTTTCTCTGTTCTATTTACCTTAACATTCATATTCCTATCTCTTTTCAGGCCATTCTGTCCTGTCCAGTATTTTTGGACTTTGATGCTCTCTTTTTAGACAAAGTGGCTTCTTCAGCATATTCTTCTTGTTCTAAATACACATTCTTCATCTTTGGTACTTCAGAACTTATTATGAAATCATTAAAGTTGTCCTGCATAAAAAACACCAATTATTAAATAACTACTGAATTTCATTGCTTTAGTAATTACACATAACTGAACTCTAGGTTACTTATAATAACCTGGTGACTAAGGCCTGATTTTAAAAACCCAAATTCAGCTTATTTTTTATTAGAAAATCCTAATTAGACATCCTAATAGCAAAACATATTAAACTTATTAACAGTACTGAAAAGCCAACATTCTGACCAAGTATCCAAATAATCCCTATTTTTCTTCTTACATTTCCTGTACCAAATCCATTGAGCCTTTCAAAAATTAAGTTCAGAATCTAAGATAGTAACTAGTGGATTAAATTCTTCCTGTACAACTGCTATCCTCCTGAAATGGGATAAAAATGTCACTTACCACCAATTTGATATCACATTCATCATGTTCAAGATTTGTTGCAGCCTCATCCTCTGTTCTGTAACATTAAAATATACCCTCAGACAACAAAATCATCTAGAACCCAGTAATATACTGTCATGATATACAAATGAAACAGCAATACTAGTAAGGAGAAAAATTATGTGGTCATGTATGACATCCCAAAATGGATGGCTCATGTGCCAAGCTCAAAGCTCAACTACAACCCAGATGGGCTTATTGTATCTATGCTCCCATCACTATTCAATAACAACAAATCCATAACATAATATGGAACAATTAACATTAAAATTTAAAACAGATTAACTCAATAAAACTTAGGACCTAAATTTTGTCACGATTAAACTTACTCTGATTCTTCAATAGGAGAGAGAGAACCATCATCATCCAAGTATTTGTATCTACGACTGTCAAAATCTTCTTTTTCTAAATCTTCACCAACATTCATTTGTTTCAAGGATTCCTTGAGGTAGTATTCATACTTCAGTTTTTCAAGGTAGTTGAAAAATCCTCTCGCCACTGCTTGCTAAATATCAAAAGCACTTTATGTAATGCTCTTACAAAATACAAAATTTTCTTCCATGACTTCGCAGATCCCTTATGTTCCAAAATGAAAAGGATCCCTTTACCACAAGCTCTTAAGCGATTTTGATTTACTCACTCTGCCATATGTGGATCACATACACCAGATGCTGGTTGTAAAAAGAATCCACTATCTACCTAGCACATTATCAAATTTATGTTAAGTTGTTGGAATACCAAGAAAAACTAAGCACAAATCTTATATTGTTTGGGAATTTCTAAAGACGTTTTTATTTTTATTTTTTTTAAAGATTTTGACAGAGAGAGAGAGAGAGTGAGAGCAGCAATACAAGCAGGGAGAGCAGGAGAGGGAGAAGCAGGCCTCCCGCTGAGCAGGGAGCCTGATGTGGGGCTCTGTCCCAGGACTCTGGGATCATGACCTGAACCCAAGGCAGACGTGTAACAGCTGAGCCACCCAGGCGCCCCTCTAAAGACATTTTTTTAAATTTTATTTCATTTTATGTTAGTCACCATTCATTACATCATTAGTTTTTGATGACTGTTTATGTATAACACCCAGTGCTCCATTCAATACCTAAAGACATTTTTAAATGCAAAGAGAAACAAATCTCTTATATTCACATAATCAGCTTAAAACATAAAAGGTTAGTATTCTTTCACATCACCGATTCTAGAGCAAAAGATTATAAATTATGCAGTCATTTAACTCAAGTATTTGAGAGTTTAATGCTAAGTTGTCAGGCAATTCTGTCAAAATCAAATATTCATTATCTGTAAGAAAATGGCCTCTACTAAAGCCACTACACATGGAAGATATGTGTGGGTTTGACTTAGGTTACTAGAAAACTGGGAATCACTTGAATTTTAGGGATGATACTTAAAGACCTGATGAGATCAAAGGATTTTATACCAACAGCCTTGAAGCACCTCATATATGGGTATATTCATTGAAACTGAATATACCAGTGAAGAATCCACCCAGAATGGGTTGGTCTTGAAGTGGCAGATAAATCGGTACAAAAGGATATTATCAAAGTCACAGATTCTATGTTCCACGCACATCTAAATTCTAAAAGTGGCCAACAAGTCATTTCAGACATTTTAGCTATATGTATTCACACATATAAAATGCTGACTTACCTCAAAGGTTAAAATTTTTCTCCAAGGTAATGGTTTTCTTGCATTCTCGGATTCTAAAAATGGGAACCCAGATCCTTTATCTTGAACTTGTTTCTTATTTATTTGGGAACGTCTGGTGTTTTCTCTCCCTTTTGGTCTTCCTCTTAGTCTTCCTGTTGGTTTATATTTCCTCTTTTTACGTTTCTTTTTTTTGAATCTTTCAAAAATAGCTTTTAAAGTCAATGGTCTTGGTTCGAAAGATGAGTCACTAGATGAATCCCTTGCCTGTACAACTTCAGGTGAATGAACAAACTTTCTAGTAGGGTTTCTTTGCCCCTGTTTAGGGGAGTAAGGGACACACTGAGTTTTAAATAAGCTGCTACCAGAAGAGTTATCACTAGAAAAAAAGGGGAAAAAATTAATTGCACTTCCAAAAACAGGAAAACATGCTCAAGATAATTTTTTAAAAAGATAGGCTCAGGACTAAACCAAGCACTTAGCTCGGACTACCTAAAATGGACCATAATGCCATGATGCCATAGCACTTACCAAAACATGACCTTCCAAGATAAGTAACAGAATTTTAATTTCCAAAGGCAGTCTCCAAAACATGACCTTCCAAGATAAGTAACAGAATTTTAATTTCCAAAGGCAGTCTTGTTTAGTGCTAGAGCTTGCTAAATAAAACAAGAGTAGTCTAGCAGATACTTAATTTGAATACAACAGAAATGCTGATTTGATTTCCTAGTGATTATTTCCATCATGCCAGCACTATTGTAATGTGCATTATCCCAACAAGTTGATTTTTAAGCAAGATCCCCCACTGATGTCTATTTTCCTGTTGTAAGAATAGGATGATTTAGCCAGGAAGAGATACCAAATTGGCCCGGAGAATATTGTTTCCCCGGGGTTAAAAATGTGTCCCACTGTTAACTACATAAACTGGAGACCTGTGTAAAACAGGTTTTCCTTTTCTTTCCTAATTATTGAAAATTACCTTTATTGCTTACCCAGTAATAAAAATACAGTAAACCTTATCAGCAAATCTAACCAGTTTTGCAGTAAGAATCTAGTGGTGGTTGATTAAAATAGCACTTACCTTTCATTTTCAATTTCCACAGCTGAATTAGATGCCATTATAGAGTTAAAAAAATTCAATCCTGTTACATATTCTCCCAAGTCCTTCTCCAAATTGTCTTATTCGTCACTTATTTGCTTCAGAGTTTTGACAATTCGGTAAACGTGATGTAGTTTCTCTGAACAAATGCCAACACAGCTAGTAATACAAAATTTGATGTAGTCAGATTATGTCACATTTTATGTAAATTAAGGCAAAATCATATACAAGACCCTTAATATTTTTATGTAGGAATCATCCATTTCAAATCAAATTCTAAAATCTAGAAACTGAATTCACGGTTTCCATTTTTCATTGTCTTCTCAATCTTATCCAGTGGAGTAAGATTCCAGAACAGTATTGTCATTTCCAAAAAAGTATTAAACACCTTCCCATGATAAAAAAATGTAATTTTACTAACCATGTAATGTACAATTACAAGTATTCACATACAATTAATGGCCAAAAAGCCATTTTTCAAGAGCAGATGGGAACTTCTTGGAAAAACCTTTACATACAAAGCCAGAAGGCAGTGTTGCCTCAGTGTATCAGGAAAAAGAATCACGATTTACTACCTCAATCCAATCTCCTGCATTTCCATTTGTAGCCTCTTCTCATTCATGCTATGATTCATCAGTCACTGTGAAACCTCTTCCTTGGCATATTATCTCTTTGCCACTATGGGTACTAATTAACAAGTTCGGAATTCTCAAACTTCAATGAAAGACTAATAGACCACACAATGGTGCCCTTTGTCTTTTTATTCTCCTTGGAAAATCTGACAATAGCGGGCGAAAAAGCGAAGAGGTCTTATTTTACCACCTTATCTCCCTTTCAAGGGATACCAACATTCTTCCGTTTTTGTCTTTAGTACACCTGAGAATGACAACTGAGTAGTTAAGAATGGAATCCTAGGATAAAATGACAAAATATCTCAAATACAAGAAATCATCAAGGTCAGGTAGAGATTTGCAAAATGTCCGATGGAGTCGTGGAAATGTGATGGTTATGTTTTGTTGGTAGTGTTTTAAAATGCGAAAACCTAAGTATTCATGAAATAACTGCTCAAAAATGAAATTTAACAAAAATTGGGTTACACGGCACTAATGGTATACCAGAGGTTATAGGTGTCTTTTAAATATTAGCACATGACTCCAGCACAGTGGAGTTAACTCAAAAACCAGTTTTCCGGAAACCGTGTAGAAAACGTTCCTAAGGAAGTGCACTTCTTATCCCAAGATTCGGCGAGAGGCCATGCGGCGAGGTAGCGCCCTTACTTAGAGTTATCAATCCCTCCAACCACTTACTATGCCTGACCTTGGGGGCGAGTGCCTCCAGGGAGCACCTCACCTCACGCAAGGCGTCAGAAATGGTTACCTCGCACTTACGAAAATTCACAAAACGTGCACTTGTCCGGAATGCTTCATTTTAAGTATCCAGACACAATGCAGCACGCCCATGAACGCGTAGATGTGGCTACAGTCCAGCCACGAAGCCCTCAGCCCACGACCGCGAGCCCTCCACCCTCCGGGCCTGCCTTGGGCGGCTCGAGCCAACCGAGCAACGCGGGGGTCCCGGGAAAAGCTAGCTCCTCCCTCGCTCACCAGGCCCGATAGTCGTGTCCTCTTCCGACCCACCCAGATTGGCGGACGGCTTGCCCCAAAGGCGCCGGCCCACCACGGGCCTCAGCCGCGTACTCGCGCCCCGCAACCCAGGCCTCCGACGTCCGCATTCGGCAACCTCCAACCCTCGGCACCCCAACAAGCCAACAACAGCCTACCTCCACAACGTCGCGGAAGGAAAGGAAGACCCACCCCGCGGCCCAGCTAATAGTGGGCCCGAAATCTCGCGAGAACAATTGAACGCCACAAGGAAAAGGAACGGTGGGAGGAGGCGAGACGCGGGGCGCCATTGTGCCCGCCGCGAGGGGTGGGGCGATTGGCGGTGGGCGGTGCCTGAACGCCCAAATGCGGAGGAGGAACGCCCAAACGCCCACTTTGACGGACAAAGTCAGGATTCAGGTGCCGGCTTCGCTAACCTGGTAGGCACGTGGCATAGTCAAGAACCTTTCCAGAAATGACAAGAACAAATTGTGGGGCCAAGTAAACGGAGTGGATGTGAACTGCGAGGAGTCAGCCACTCTTCTGTTTCCGGTGTCTCGCATTTGCTGAGCTGTCGGCGGCTTTTCTAAAGCCTCCGGGGGTGTGTGCGTGGCGGTGAGTGTGGTGCTGGCTGTGTTTTGTCATGTCTACTTTTGCCTTCAAAAATCTCTTCTGTGTGAAACTGACAGGCTCATGCTTTGACCGTGACTCCAAATGTGTAACCTTTGTTCTGGAAGCCGGTGTTACTCCATAGCACACCCCATTCCCCTCTCCATCTTTGGACTTGTTTCGTTAGCTCGCTCTTTCCCCCCAAACTGAGGCTCAGCCTCCAGGACTTGGTTAACGTTATCCCAAGACACCAGCGGTGGATTTTTTTTTTTTTCCTACGATTTTGATTCCTTAGTCCCCTGAACGGCCACTGAGTGTTGAAACAGTTTAAACTAGTTTAGTTTTGGTGATTTTTTTCCCCCTAAAGGAGTTACAAAAAGGAATGAGCTGGTTTGATGGGTCCACTTTCAGACCTCTTGTATCATATGATAGAACCGTAAAGCTGCCTAGTTCTGTATAGTTAGTGTCATCCCAGGATTGAACAGACCTGGAAGGTAATCTGATCTCTTTACTCAATTTCGGTCTAAATATTGAAAAAAATTCCAGGCATGAAAGTCGAATCCTCTAGGCATCTCCACAGTCTAGGAGATACTTGGAAGCTCCAGGGCAGTTGGGCATGTCTTACTCACCTATGTGGGAGCTGGCCTGGCTGTGGAATTTGTGAGGCTCAGTACGAAATGAAAATGCAGGGTCCCTTGTTCAAAAAGCGCCACTAAAGGTGCTAAAATATGAGCCATCTCCTTTCTTCTGTAGTATCTCCTTTGACTTGTCATGGTGTTTTAACTTTCTGTTTTTAATTATAATAGCATGTTAATCGTGCTATTATTATGCTGTTATTATTAATAGAAATTTGCTATTTGATACCAAAGTAAAGAAAAAATTTTAAATATAAATTATTAGCATGAGTTTTACTTCTTATAGCATGCAATGCCAGTTTTAAATACAAATGTAAGGATGGTTAACTCCTATGCAGAATGGATGAAATTCACAGTTCATATTTCTTAGCTCATACAAACATGTGTTTTGTTCTTACTAGAACAATGGAGACTGCACAAAACCAACTCACCTGTATTTTCTTTTTTTTTTTTAACTTCTTGATGTATGCACATTCTACCAACACTACAGAATCAGGGGACTTTGAGTTTCGCAGAATTCCACAGATGGTGGGTCCACCAGATTTCTGTGCTCATGGGGTTTCACAAATGCTTTATGTGAATGAGGTAGCAAGGAATAGTGGTGGACATGCACTTTGCCCCTCTGGCCTCTGGTCCTGCACATGCTCCATTGTCCTATTGGTCTTAAAAGTTCAAATATAAAGTTAAGAATTTCAGGGTGGTGACAACAGAGCATTAAACCAAATGCCATTCTGAGCACATGGCCCTGTGTCATTATACTAATTGCACACCCCTGAGGCCAGCCCTATCCCAGAGCCTTATGAGTCTGATACACTGTAAATATTCAATAAATAATTAAGGCTGAACTGGTGCCCACTAGGAAGGCACTTGGACGACAGAACCACAGTCCTATCTTCAAAGAGATCACAGCCTAGGTGAAAGGAACAAAGCAAACAGATGATAACTCTGAGTGCTATAAGATGGCTCTGTACAAATTCTTCCTTCTAGGAGCTGAAATGTGTCATTCGGTCACAAGTTAACCCGTATGGTATAATGTGAGGAGTTCTGGCTTTACAGAGGGCTACATTTGGTTTTGAATTATTTCTGCCACTTTAATACCTGAGCGATCTCGAGTAAATAATATATTCTCTCTGGCCTATTCCTCTTCTGTAAAATGAGAATTATACTATCTATTTGGTGTGAGAGGCTCTGAGAGAATGTGAAGTGCCTAACATGGTACCTGTTATAGAGCAGGCTGCCAATAAATGGTTATCAGCTTGGTTGCTACAGTTGGCCTACCCTGTCAGGCATTGTCTCTGCGGCTCTACTCATCCAGCTGCCTCCCCTTTATACTCTTCCCTTCTTTAGACCCTCCTTCTGGGCCACTGACTCCCAGCAATGGAATCTGGAGGGTAAATATCATGTGCCTCCTTAGGCCTAAAGCTGTCCTCCTAGAGCCACACTTGAGTTTATATTAGAACCTTTCTAACCCCCTTCTCTCATCAATCCAGCTTCAACCTCCCCTCCTCCCTCCCACATAAACACATTTATACACACGTTACCACACTGCCTTCTGGGCTGTTGGCTTGCCCGAAGTTCTACATTTCCAAACCAGTTATTCAACTGTAGCCTCCCGGGGTTGGACTTTGTTTTTATTTTGGTGGGGAAAGAAAACAAGCAAACAAAAAAAATCTGACCTTTTAAAGATAGCAAAGGGTGTAAAATTAGGATTGTATTTGAATTTAAACTTGTCTTTATTACTCCTACTATAAACAGAAATATCTAGAATGCTTTATTTTTCTCATTATAAATAAATACAGTATTGAGCAGATTTTGACATGTTCTTAATTAGTATTTTCTGATAAAGAAAATATAAGATGTTAACATTTAGAAAATCTAGGTGAAGAGTATACAGGAATATTTATACGTATTCTCTGTCCATCTGAAATCAAAAAAAAAGTTAAAATGTTTCATTCCTGAACAATTATAGATTGTTCAACTGAAAGATATGCTTGAGATCATTGAAATATGATTATATAGGACTTGGGGCCCATTATCAACAGTTGATATTTTATTTGGGAGACTGATTATGCATATTATGTAATTAAAGAATAATAAAATTTGGTATTTGATGAAGTACTTATGTAAATGTTAAGTCCTAAATGTATGAGATTAGCATGTTTGTGGAGGATATGTTGTTTGAAATTATCATCAAAACCAGAAACCCAGGAATGCCTGGTGGCTCAGTTGGTTAAGCATCTGCCTCCAGCTCAGGTCATGATCCCAGGGTCCTGGGATGGAGTCCCCGCATCAGGCTCCTTGCTTAGCGGGAGCCTGCTTCTCCCTCTGCCTGCCGTTCCCCCTGCTTGTGTGCTCTCTCTCTCTCTCTCTGACAAATAAATAAATAAGATCGTAAAACAAAACAAAAAACCAGAAACCTGGTTTCTAAGAAACCTGTGAATCTTTGGAAAATTTTTTTTAAAAAGTGGGGGTGGGGGGATTTTCCAAGTGATATTGAAAGACCACCTTTCACTTACCAAGTAAGCTTGTATCAGAAACTATTGAGATTAATAATTAATGAGGTGTTCCATTAACAATTTTAATGAGAATCTGAATAGTGCTCTTAGAAACACTCTTAAAAGAGTTTTGCTTGCATTCTTTGTTGCAACTGGCTGAGAGTGGGATTCCCTGCCCACCTCACATTATTTTTGCTTTTTTTTTTTTCCTTCATTTTATTTACTTTGCTCTGCTTGCGTACCTTATCACCTGAACACTTAAGGTTAAGATACTAATCTCTGTGTATATATGCCTACTTATTGTAAAATATGCTTAGCATATATTTTTAAAACATCAAACTATAATTGGTTAGGTTATCAGAATAATTGAACATTAAAGCTGCTTACCAAGAAAGTATTTATTTGTAAGTAAAAGTAATAATTTGAATTTCAATAGCTACTCATTTGTAGAAGTTTGCATTTCTCTTAGTAATTTAAATTTTCTTTTATAAAAGTGATAACCTAAGAAACTTGTTTAAGTTTTAGCCTAAATGTCAAATATAGAATAGAAAACACAAATTATCTATGAATTACTTGAGCATCTTATACTGTTATCTACAACATTTAAATAGTTACTTATAAACCTTAAAAACTACCTTTTGCTTCAGGACCTATGTTCCTTAGACCAACCATTAGAAAACTGCATGTTCGATCCACATATATGACTAAAAAAATGAATCATGTGCCTTCTTAGTTTGGCATTTCCTTTTATCTATTTTAAGTGTTGACTTTAAAATATCAGTATTAAAGAAAGGTTACTTGGGCATTTCTCACTTGGAATGTTAAATACTGGAAACTGTGGTTGCCTTTCTGTGAGGGAAGAAACATAAATGCCCTTTTGCCCTTTTTATATAACTGAACTCTTGTGTTCCTTTCCAGAGCAACAGCTGTTCATGCATGGTACACAGTGAACTCTTGTGATCATTAGCCTACATAGGCAAACTCTTCTGGTCATTAGCCTACCATAGTTTTGTGTGTATATCCTGATACCTAAAGAAGAAAGAAATGGCTTGTGCTGAGTATTCTTTTCATGTGCCAAGTCTTGAGGAGCTTGTTGGAGGTAAATACAATAATAACTTTGAGGTTTTTTTAATTATTCTAAGGGAAAAAAATTTAAAAATAAAAATATTCTAAGATATGATTTATGCAATAGTATTTCCATTGCA